ATAATATCATATTATTAAAATAATTATAATATTATTATAATATCATATTATATGATAAAATAATAATATTATAGTTATTAATATAATTATGATATTATTGTTGGAAAATAATGGCATCAAGTGCGCAGTGAAATTTAAAAAATTTAATTAATGCCAAAGTCATTCAAGAACATGTTCATGATGCTATATAACATAAATACTAAATATCTACATCATACATTTTGAGATTTAGGAAATTGCACGTTTGACATATCAAAGCGTTCCAAATAGCAACCGGAAGAGCCTCAACCAACTGGTCTTCTTTGCTATTCTTGTTTCCACGATCGGAGTACGGGTGGGCACACGTCGTTCAATCTCCTCTTGGTATTCTTGATCTCCTTCCAATCACAAGAGAGCCCAAGAAAAAATTGTTCTTGAGAATTAAACAATTTTTCCTCTTAGGAATCTTTTATCAATAGCCTCCAAAAAGTCTTTCAAGTGATCTAATGAGTAATGTGACTTAATATGCTATTTATAGTGTTTAGGAAGTCATACTTCCATAATAATTAGGTTTCTCAAAGTCTTAATTGCATTCAGAGTCAATTTTGCCATGTCAGCATGCATTTTACGTTACAACCGGTCGACCGGTGACAGAGACGTTATAACTCACCGGTCAACCTGTCCTTCACAAACCGGTCGACCTGTCTGCACTAACGAAAGTTGTTTTCCTAGTTTTTCAACACGAAAAACTTGCATAGAGCCTCAGTTTTGATTCAAGCAACCCAATAGAGAAATTGCATGATCAAAACAGTCATATAATAGTCTTCCCATATTAAACAACTCTTAAAACAATAATTCAACCAATTTATCTAGAATTAATTTATCAATTAATTCACCTGATAAATCACCCATGAATTAACTTTGAACCTCTTTTACGGAAATAACACAAGTTACCAATGTGTAGAAAATACGCCGTATCGTTACAGGAAATTATGTGAGCTAGCAAAGGGACCCGATGGACATATATAAATCAAGCTCCTATAATCACAACGCTACTTGTAAACCAACAAGTTCGTCTCATGATTATAAAACTCTAGCGTTATTCCACTAAAAGCCTAGAGCTGCACTCTCGATTTATATAGCGTATTTACAAAGCTCTAGTTCATGACTCAATATATTAGTGTATCATCCCCATAGGATATCCATAATCGACTTGAGGTCAAGTTCCGTTTTACCTTCCCGATTACATTTATCTTATGTTCCATTATCATACCATCGGAAAAAATATTATTCGTACAATTACAAACAATAAACCATTAGATAACACAAAGTAGTCTAATGGCTGAGCGCTCGTATTTTTTAATCCACTGATAATGCATAAGAGGATTTCATTGACTCTTTATAGGAGCTATGGATTCCACTATCTATGAATAACGAATCTACGCATACACGAGTCATACCCCCAATGTACCGGCAAGCATACCTTTACATAATGTCAGGATGTCTCCCTTTAGTACATCAAATGATACAAGTCAATCATACGGGTTCATCATCCATCTCAGGATTAAGATGACAACATATAATTCGTCAAAAGTGAATTATTTTATTCAAACAGAATTATTAATTAAAACAATTCAACTTTGATCCGATCCAATATAGATTTCACCATTAGAAACTATATCAATGTCTCCACCCATGGAGTCCCACCTCCAACGACCAAGACAAGCCGTCTCCGTTAGGAAGTAGACAACATAACAATCTTAACATGAATAAAGCGCCCAACTTTATTCTCTCGATTGTGGATCATAAGATTTAGACTATCATCTTTAGATTCTTGTCTTCCGCATGTTCTTCACATTACATGCATGACCTAAAAATTTAGAATGACAGTCTCAGACTTTCAGTTTGCTTATCATACATTCAACTATTATGAACATAAAGAGGACAATACATAGATATATAAAATAAACAAATCTTTATTAATAGTCAAAATGTCTCAAATAATATTGTTACATTTATTCCTAAGGGCATAAACGCTAACAATTATTTGTTAGAATATTACTATTATATTACGAGTCTGAATTTTAGATTGTGAAGATTGTAAATTTTAAATTTTATTATGGGTATTATGAAAGTTTCATTAATTGTACTATACTGATTCTGCACAATCTAAAAGCTAAATTTGTCTTTAGGCTGTTTCTGATTTTGACTGTAGATTCTTAAAAAAATCTTCAAAAAACACTTTTGAGGAGATTTATCAAATACTAAAATCAGCTTCTGCTACAAGCAGAAGCTGATTTCGAGAAGGAAAAGTAATACCCAACTAAGCCAATAACATCGATAGATGCTCAAACTTATGGTGACCTATGCTCGCTATGGCAAGGTTGGATTGTGTCAGTGAGTTCACAATGGTGTGGAGAGACTCTTGACAATGAGCTCGATCTCACTATGACCTAGGCTCGTGATGGCAAGCTCGATCTTGCAGCGCCTTAGGCTCACAACAAGGCTGGGTTTGTGATGGCACGAAGAGGCTCAAGATGGATGGTTGGGGCTCACGACGGGATATGGCGGCAACATTCATTGATTATGGCTTTTATGGTTTTGTTTGTAGTCTCAAAATACCGGCTATGTCCATGCAAAAATCAACATGTTTCTTGCACATGTCTGTTTCCGTTCGATGAAATGGAGCTTATTGCAACTGTTGAGCAACCGGAGGAATTACCCAAATTAAAAGTTTGAGTTGGCAATTAACTAAAACTCGACAAGTGCAGGGGCAATTATGTTAAGAACCCTAAAACGTGATATGGTAGATTAAACAAAAACTAGCAAATTATCCATGTCGGTCAACATCGGCAATCAGACATGATTGGTAATTTTATTTTGGTGAAAATAATAATTCACTAGATTACTCTCTAACGACAGGAGATGGTTTTTTTTTTTTGGAAATTAAAAAAAATCTTGTAGACTATAGCAATAATCTGCTAGTAACTCTTCAACTGCTGGCATCAGCAACCGGAGACGATTGATAATTTTATTGTTAAAAATAAAAATAATATGGAAGATTATAAAATGTAATCTAGCAGATTACTTTTAGGGGGTTAGATCTAGTTCTTAATTTTCTTATTGAAAAAAAAAATGTGGTAAATTATAAAAAAAAATAATCTGATAAATTATAAAAACGAATCTATTAGATTGCTCTCCGGTCCGGACATTTGCAAGTGATGGTGACCAGAGTCGGTGGTGCAGGCTACCTTCTGTTGACATCTAGTAGATTATCAAACGTAATCTTAAAGATTGCCTTTTTAAACTAGCAGAGCAATTTCGATAACATATATTGTTAACCTTTGATCAATACATTTGAGGGATAGTAATAAAAGGTTGAATATTTGAGGCATAGAAAAGAAAAAAGCGATCGTTTTTTTCAATAAAAAAATTACAGATTCTATCTTTTTAAGTACCTGACTTACTAAAAGTATTTCTTTAAAAAAAAAAAAAACTCTACACATTGAC